AGGAAGGAAGATGAGAGTAGGAAGTGTTTGCCTTCCTCCTGTGTCTCCACTCCAGGGACAGCTGGCTATGCTACAGCTGTCCTGTGGCTTTGTGTCCTTAGCCCTGTGATTACAAATGTGTACCTTACCACATACATTGCCATCATATTCTGAAGGCAAGAGGAAGGACTTCTGAGCCTATACTACTAGTAGTCATTAGGTCTTGTCACAAACTGAGTTTTCCTGGACATCCACCCTCAGGTGGCCTGCTAAGAAATTGCTGTCACATTGCCAAACTTCACAGTTTATCACTAATAAATCTTCCTTTATTTACTTATGTAGTTTGTTAAGTGGTTGATTATCATCTATTTTCCTCCTTAGATTACTTGAGTATAGTTAAGTATTGTGTACTCAATGTCCAGCCGTGGACACTGTAAGATCTCGATAGGCAATTACTAGATGTTGAACGAATGAGGAAAGGGTGGTAGACCAGTTGTAGTCTGCCTTCTCATACCTTGCCTGTGTCTGTTCTAACTTCATTAACTGGCTTGCAATGTCTGGTTATGAGGTTACTAGGCATTTGAAAGCCTGTTCCCATGTGTCTTAGTTAGGGTTTCTATTTTTTGTTACTGTGAAAAGACACCATGACCACAGCAACTCATATAAAGGAAACATTCAATTGGGGTGTCTTAGTCTTCAGACTTAGTCTTCAGAGGTCTAGTCCATTATCATCATGGTGGGACATGGAGGTATGCAACAGACCTGGTGCTGAAGGAGCTGAGAATTCCACATCTTGATCCACAGGCAACAGGAAGTAAACTGAGACTTCTGGAGTATCTTGAGCATGGGAGACCTCAAAGCCACCCCACAGTGACACACTTCCTCCAACAAGGCCTCACATATTCCAACAAAGCCACACCTCCTAATAGTATCACTCCCAGTGAACTCATGGGGGCCAATTACATTCAAAGTACCACATCATGTATATCTCTCTCAGGCTTCCACACTACAAAATCTACCATCTTATACATATGTATGCTTATGAAGGCCTACCTTGGAGGGCAGTCCTACCCCACTGTCTCCACAGGAAAGACTGAACTTATAGGCCCTAAGATTTATGACAGGAACACGGAGGGAATGAACTACAAAAGATCTTTTTTGTTCTTCCCTCAGTTGGACTCTCATTTGAAATACTATCCTTTTTTTTTTTTTTTTTTTTTTTTTGGCTATAAATAATATTGCACCTTGGCACTTTGATTCTCTTTTTGATTTTTGTTTGATTTTTTTTCCTGTATAGAATCTTAGAACCCTGTAATAATAGTGTGCTGGAGCTGCTTGACAGGCAAGATGAGAATTCCCCAGTGCCCAAGAACAGCCCAATTAAAGTAACCCCTCATGCTGTTTTCTTCATCGCTGCTTAAGTCAGACTGGGATTTTCCAGTTGAATGGGTCTGTGTATGTAAAAGTCAGTAATTTTGTTATCTACATGTGGAAGGACATTGTGTTCTACAGATTCTCTCCTCCAAGTCCACTTAATACCTTCTGTATCTCGGAACTGGAAAGGAGACTCAGCAGTTAAGAGCACTTGCTGCTGTTGCAAGAAACCAGGGTTCAGATCTAGGTATCATCATGGTAGCTCATAAACATCTGTACCTCCAGATCCAATGCTTTCTTTCTGATCTCCATGGGCCCCAGGAATAACATACATTCAAGGAGAACACTCATATACTTAAAATAAATCTTAAGAAAAAAAAAACTATATTACAACTTCCTTCACCAAGAGACTATATTTCATTTGATAAAGGACAACTGAAAGCCAAGACTTATGACCACCATCATCAGTGAACTCTGGGAACATATCATATGGAGTAGATAAGAATGAGAGATCACAGCTGGAAAGGCTGTCTGGATCCTTTTGCACCTCCAATCCAGTACCACCACCCCACTCAAGTCCCTGTCTACCGGCTTAGAGTGAGGAGTCTATGTTTCTGCTCTAGTCAGAAAAGCAGACTCACTTAACTACATGTCACTCTCTGTGGCATGGCAAGAATCAGTGACACTTTTGAATAGTATACTCTGCTCAACCTATATAAAGTACATCTCACAGAAAAACAAATATTTCACATCTGTCAGTACCCGGAGGAGAAAAATGTTTTTAGATAGAGTGTGTGGAGGTTCAAACCTAGCTAGAGCTTTATACATGCTAGACAAGCATTCTAGAACCAAGTTATATACCCATCTCTGGAAACTTATTCTTGAATCTGTGACATTGTACCATCTTCTTTATGGTAGTTGCAAACAGTGAAGGGTGAAGTAATACTACAAAATAGAAACTAGCAAGACGCCCTGACACTAGCCATATAAACGCACATCTAACACATGTTATCTTCATATGATATGTCAATTCCCACTTCACCTGAAATGTAAGTTTGTGTAATTAGATACTGTTTGAAAAATGGATCAAGAAGAATTTGGAGAGTTTTGCTTGATGTTCATTTACTATTTGTTTTCTACTGTCATCTTCATGATGAGACACAAAGTAAACTTAAGGCAAATAATACTTTGTCACTAAAGACAGGGGAAGTTCTTAATGAAACATATCAAGACGCAGATGTCCAAAACAGTCAAATTTATAATCATAAATATGCTAAACCTTTAATTATAAAATTTAGATATTTTATAGTTTAGTCACTTCCTGAAACAAAAATCATTAAAGTCCAAATGTTCAACAGAAAGCCTATTTCAATTCAATGTGGACAGCCCTGGAATGCAACACAGAGCCAGCATTGGCTCTCTAAATACAAAAGCATGGCTCTGGACTGTACATTTTTATCCCAGAAAGCCCCACAAAACAGAGCACACAAAGTGAGAAGCATGTTTTGAAATTAAGCACGTCACTGGAGTATGAAATCATTCCATATTAACTTTAGTACAAAGAGGAGGAATCAAATAAAACTGGTCACTGCTTTAGCCATGATGTTTTCTTTGTGTTTATCTGTTTCTTCATTTTTTCCTAACAAATCTCACATGATTAAAATTAGGTGTTTAGGCTACTAAATATTTTTCACCTGGTCTACTGACAGTTGGCAGTAAGAGCCACAAACCAAGAAAGGTCTGGGACAAACAATGGTCAGACTGCAGGAGACTAATCAGAAATCTGTTGTCGGCAGTGTAGATGAAAGGGCCTCTCCCAGGCATACAAGTGCTCACATGTTTCGAACTGCTGTTTTACAGATGTTCAGATGAGACTCTTGGTAGAGTCAGGCTAGCCCGCCTGAAAGACACCACCCATGCTGCTGGTTGCCATTTTATCCACTCATCCTACATACTAGCTTCTCTTGAAGATGCCCTCCTGCTCCACTAGGCAACCTATCCTAGGGATCCATGTGGGGAAATTCTAGGCATAACCTATAGGTTGAACTATTGGAAACTACTGCCTGTGCACTCATGTTCACTTCTTAAACATAAAGTTTGACTATGTGTAGCTTACAGACTTCAGTAAGTGACAGCATCCAACATAACCTTCTAGACTTCTCTGTCTCTTTCACATGGGAGTTTAAACTCACAAAAAGCTCAGTCTCTGAATAGCAGTTTATTTATTTAAAAAATATACCGACGAGGGCAGAGAGTGGAGAGTGGAGGTGGGCAGTGACAAAGAAGAGGGAAGAGGTCCCCTTTGAGGACTGGTACCCGTGACGGATCTCTAGTGGCTTGTGAAGCTGTGATGGCTCTAACACAAATCCGTCTACTCACATGTCTAACCTGGCTCAGCCTGTGATGAAGGCAGTAGCCCAGTCTGTATCCGTGGGGGCACTGAGGATCAGGGCCCTCAGCACTACCCTGTTTGCTCATTCCAGGATAACCATTCCTGTTTCTTGTATCCTTCATGGTAATAAACTGGCAATTTGCATAGGATTTAGTGACAATGACAATCCAATCCCTAGAAATGTTAAGTGCAACAAATAATGTGGACATGGGGTGCAATCCCTTTCTTCCTGTCAGGGAGACAGGGGTGCAGATCAAATGACCTGGCACCCTGCTCAGATCTGTGAAACACTCTGATCTCTTCCATTGGCCCCTCACACTCAGTGAAATATGCTGCAGAGATACAGTCATTTCCATTTGATGGAGAAAGAAACTGAGACCTAGAAAGGTTTAAAACTATTTGTTCAAGATCATGCGGTCAAGGCAGAGCCCAGACTAACTTTCAAGTTCTTCACTCTTACACCATTATTTTTATCCAGTTTCCCTTTAACATGGGAAGGAATGGGAATTACTTGATGGGCTAATTATTATTTGTTTTGCTCCCACTCACTGAGCCTGTTTCTATGCATAATTTCATTTAAACACCCACTGAAGAAGCAAGTATTATTTCTTAAGGAAACCAACCTTTTTGGAGCATCTCTTGTTCTCCTCCCGCTAAAGCCACATGGCACTGGGTCCCTATAGCATTCATGTGACATTTTTATCACTGATGAGTCTTGATTCTAACCGAGTTTTTACATGCCAGTCTACACTAATATCCACAAAGGCAGGAAATCAACCAATCTACATATCTGCAGAGCAGTGCATTAGAGAGGCTCAGTTCGCATCAGTCACCATGACTAAAGCATAAATTTTTTACATAACACAGAGCTAAGTTTCAGTGCAACATGTAAAAATAAGAAGTTACAGCAGGTGTAGTGACCCTTACCTATAACCTCAGCACTAAGGAGGTGGAGGCAGAAAGATTAAGAGTTCAAAAGCATCCTTAGTTACATATTAAGTTTGATGACAGCCCGGGCTACCTAAGACAACACACACACACGCACACACACACACACACACACACACACACACACACCAAAGTAGGGGGTAGTTCAATTGATTATTTGGTTAACCATGATTCTAGCTAATCATATTTCTGCTATAAGTTAGACATATATGCTTTCAAAACACTAGGCTGTAACCCACCAAAACATGAGTGTCTTACATGGAACTAATCTGATCCCCCAACTATTTCTTGCCTGATGCTTTCTTACCTGATAGCATATTGTCTGTTTTTATTGAAGGAAACTTCAAAGTCATCTCATGCTTGTGCCGATGAATCATCAGATGGTCCTCTGTTGGGAAACGCTGTTGAGTAAATAGAGAGGGGAATGGGAGAATTTCAGTTTGCAACACATACCTGACATCACAGAGAAGAAGACAGCATCAAAATCAAGACAGATAAGACCAAAGGGGAGGGGAATCCGTTCTGAAAAAACTGTTATCACACTAGCAAATACGGTTTATAGTTCCACGCTGATTTATTTACACCCATGTGCTAGCGGGGAGGGTGTCCTTCCTCCCCACTATATGCAAATGTGCATTATCGTGCCCATTTGTTTACCGAAAGCCTTGCCTGTGCAGCACAGGATTACTGATAAGTGGTCTCTGCTTCTAGTCATTCTTTGGTTCCCTAGGACTTTCCCAGAGTGCTCTGCTTCCTACATAAGCCCAGCTGGATTTCCAGGGCACTGCAGAACCTGTGTGTTTCTTGAGAACTAGAGGTTTCCATCTGGGGGGGGGGGGGAGAAAACTTTTCAAGTTCAAAGACTTTGAACTTTGCCTTAGCCTTTGCTAAAAAATGAAACAGAAAGTGCAAAGGGGGCCCTGTTGAAGCACTGCGCCCCAGAGCCTGGCTCTGTTAGGGAGTCTCCTAAGGAAAGACACCAGTGATGAAAGGAAAGCTTCTTGTGATCCTGAAATGTGACTAATGGCAGCAGAGAGTATCACATCCAAGATGAAAAAAGGGATGGAGATCTGGGTAGCACTGGGGATATGTAAAACCATGTGGAACTTTTCTGTAGTAGTTACTGTTTTACATAAGAGTGTAAAATTAAGTCTAAAGCATGATAAGTGCACTAGACATTATCTGCAGATTAGCCAAAAATAAGAGAAACGCATGACATAGAAAGAATTTTGATTTATGTCAGACTTTGGGAAAGAACTCCATGCCATGCTTAATTTTTTAAATATATCTACTAATGTACACCATGACGTCTTTACGGTATGTTTCTGTTTATGAAGGCCTAGTACCCATATTATCTGTTTTTTTTTTCAAATTATACATATGACTTTATAGCAACATGACAAATTATTTGGGGTGTCCTGTACTCTACATACTGTAGTCAGCCTGTATTTATTTGAAAATTTCAGGGAATGATGTTAGAGTTGTCAAAAATGTTGTTTCCAATTATTTGGGACTATTTCTGGCTCTCCTATGTTGAATATGGCCATATGAATGAGTCTGTCCATTGCATCATGAAGGAAAATGGCCTGTCTTCCAAAGACAAGTGTCTGGTCAATTGTCATTTCCCCGCCTTACTCATAGCATAGCAAGGCGACTCACAGCAGAAATAGTGGCCCCTTGATAACTGTAAATCTCTCAAGGGTTATGATGAATTATAAAGGACAAAAAAGTGTTTTCTAAAAATTTTACCAAAAAAAATATAGCCATCAGTAACAAAAATAAGCTTTGCGGTTTAGCTATAATTTGTTATTGAGTATACGCTAGTATAGCTAGCTCAGATGAGTATGTTTGTAATGACTGAACTGAATGGAGTTTTTATTTATTCAAGTTTGATTTGTTAACATCAAATATAAATATAGAAAAAGAATACATAGTGATGGACATTTTGGACTCTAATAATTTGAAAAGTAACTTTCAGAACTCAGGACAGTCAATACGACTCTCTATTACCTTCGTACACCATGGTTGAAGTATTTTCTACAAGGAGAATAGATTTGTGGTCAAACAAGGGAGTTCACTGTGCTGAATCCTATCAAAGGTTCTGAAAGTGGTTCTTGGTGTAAGCATCACTTATATACTTGATGATTGGTCATATTCTAAAGAGTGACACTTGCACCCGACTTCCAGTGAAACAGAGGTATACTTTATATAACTTCAGGTATTTCTGTATCATCTATCCTCTTGATTTTCTTAACACCAAATATTTAACATTGGTAAAAATGAGTTAGAGAAAGAAATTAATGTAATAGAAGCAATATGGTAATATCTTTCAATTAATAAGCCATTCTAAAATTTATTATTGATTCTATATGCATAAATGTTTTGCTTGCATGTGTGGATGATGTGGAAGGTCCTTCTGTATGCCACAAATATGTGTTGCTTTTGCTGGTTGATGAATAAGGTTGCTTATGCCTATAACAGGGCAGAATATAGCTAGGCAGGAAAGAAGGCAGAGTCAGGGAAACACCATGTAGCCACCAGGAAAGCAAGATGCGAGATAACAAGCCACGAGCATTCATGATAAAATGTAAACTATTAGGAATGGGTTAATTTATATGTAGAACTAGCCAGTAAGAAGTCTGAGACACTGGCCAAGCAATTATATTTAGTATTAGCCTCTGAAAGATTATTTCATAAGTGGCTGTGGGGATCAGTGGGCAGGAGAGAAACCGGTCCACTGGGACTGGGAGAGACAGAGAAAAACTTCCAGCTACACATGTCTGTGTGCCGTGAGTGAACCTGGGATCTACAAGGCCAGAAAAGAGCAACATATCCTGCTGCACTGGAGTTACAGATGGTTGTGAGCCACCATGCGAGTGTTAGGGACTGACCCAGGCCTCTGAGACAGCAGCCAGTGCTCTAACTACTGATCTATCTCTCCAGATTTAATAAGCTGGTTTTTCTTTTTTATAACATCTTGCAAAGATTTTTAAAAATTATATATTTTTGGACTATGGATGTGGGAGGGGTACTTAAAAGTGAGTACAGGTGTCCGCAGATTAATATTCCGCCAGCTATGACACTCAGAACTACTGGCTGATGGCTACATTGTCACTCAGCTAAAAGATGGACATGGTTTTATGTGTGTCAAGATAAAAGAAAAACTTCCATATAAAGTAGATGCTGACTTGCAGATATAGCAACATATCCAAAGCTGTGAGGGAAGTTTGAGTTTGAACCCTTAAAATCAAGATACCTTAACATAAATCCTGATTTCTTACATTTATTCAACATTTCTCATGGTCCACTTAACCTTGTTAATGAAACCCCTTGGCATCCTTCTTCAACAAAACATTCAAGGGTATTCAAAACTCAACCTGTTCAAGAACTCAGGGTGTGAGTCTGTGATAAAGTACTTGCCTAGGATATGTGAGGTCCTGGGTTTGAATCCCCAGTGCCACACACACAAAATATGTAACCCAAAAATGAGCCACACTCAGTCCCCTCACACTTCTCTTGCGACTTGGCAGATTCTCCCTCTGTCCCCTCTTGGCTCAAGTTAACTGAGGATGTCCACTGCCCCACAGGACACTCTGCACCCTGTTTCCTTGGCACAGTTTCTTGCTGTTGACTAAACTTACACTGACTATCCTTTCGCAGGCCACCATTAGATCATTCTGTTTCGGCACAGCCTCCCGCTCCTGAAAGGTTCCTCTATGCCATTACTTCAGCCCCCTCGACACCCACTCACTCACTAATCCCTTCCAATCAGGCCTCCACCCTCTGCCTCCTGCAAGCAACTGACTGCCAAACCCAACAGCCTTTGCTCCATCTTCCAGCTATATCCCAGCTCCAACAGTGTAGGACACCAGTGACTACATGTCTTTGGCATTGATTTATTTATACCATGCCTGGCTGTGGTGAGGGAAAGGTTGCTTAGAGCAATGCATGAAATAGAGCGGGAGAGCATCAGTTAGAAGTTGTGGATCCAGAACAGAAGGGGTATAAGAGAACAAAGCTAAAACCCCAATGAAACCAAGAGCAAGTGTGACCCTAGAGGACATCTGGCAACCTCTGACGACGTTTCAGTTGATCACAGCTGAGGATTGCTAATGAGGTCTGGTGGGTTGAGGCAGGGATGGTGCCATATACTCTACAGCACACAAGACATTGCCCACATCAAAGCGTTACTTGGCCTCAGATGTTAATAATGCCAAGTTTGGGATAGTGTGTGTGTGTGATACAGGTCAATACTTATGAATAGATATCTCTCTCCTGTCTGACTTTCATGAATCCTGCACATGGCTAGAAACTCTTTACTGGCATGCTAACCCTGGACATACCTGAGAATCTCAACCTAGCCTGACCCCTCCTTTTATTTTGCTGTTCCATAGAAAAGCCTTCCAATTATCCCCAGTAAAATGAGTTCCCCAGTGTGATCTGTTGCTTCTTTATGAAAAAAAAAATTGAAACCAACTAGTTAATTGATAATTTCATCACATGACTACATATCTGAAGCCCAGACCATAAGGTCTGTGAGAGCAGAGATATGTGTACTTTCAAGAGGTAGCTATAATATCTAGATACACGCAGGTAGGTACCCAGAACGTGTCTAGGTGGCTTGCAGTAAACGAAACTTAGTGTCTATTGTCAGAGACAAGTAAAGGAAACCCCACCAATTATCTGGGTTCCTTTAGACAAGGAGGCTTCCCTTTGAAGAAACTGAGGGGGTGTTCTGTTTTAGTTAGGAACCAGGTTTTAACTTAGTACAGAGATATTCTGCATTTACCATGGGAAGCCCTTGTCAGGATTTTCCCAGTTATGCAGCAACCCACACACATTACCCTAGTATTTCCTACTTCAGAATGGCTTTCAAAATCAGTTTGCTCCAAAATATGTTTCTCTACTTCCTTTCTTGTTCACGAGTTAGAAACAAACATTGGCACAAAAAAAAAAAAAAAAAAAAAAAAAAACCCTCTAATGGAAATTCCAGAGTCTTGTTGCTCAGCAGGTGATAATATTGGTGACAATGTTTTGTGTTTCTGTCACTTTGTTCCTCTAAAAACACCTCCTCAGATTCTCTCAGTATCCTCCACGAACTCTGGGAAACTATAAAAAAGGTACTCATTTTATTCCTACCTCACCTTAGACACTGCCCCTCATAAGACTGCCAACCCTATCATGTGAACTGGAGGGCATGAGCCTTGGTTTCCTTGAAGGTACAGGAAAATAAGGGAGTGAGTGCCATCTCCCACATTAGCAAAATGCTTATGCACACACTCTGAAACGTGTCCTATATCCCATAGAATAAAGATCTTGGTATTAAAAACTACCATTTCAACATATCAAAATCCTTAGAAAATGGTACTATCCAAAGATGGACTCTTAAGTCAGGAGCAGAATAAGTCACCCTCAAGTTTTAAAAATAGAACATAAAATTTGAATTTCACATAATAGGCATGGGCTCTAACATAAAAGACTTAGCAGCAGCAGCACTAGTGATTACAAGAGTGGATATTAACTGAATATTTACTGTGTTCATGCCCTATATTAAACACCCTAGAGGCAATATTTCATCTAATGTCCATACTTTCCATTTGAAGAGAGTTATCAGAGACCCTCAGATTCAATCCTGCATTCCAACATATCCATTCCTCTTAAAAATCCTACACCCAAGAACTCTAGTTTGAGAACAGCATAGTAGTATTCCTTTCTTCAAAAAGGATCCAGAATTCAGCCCACAACTATGAGGCATCTCATCAAAAAAGCCCAGTAGGTATGCAATTGGCGGCTGTGAAAAACACACCACCTTCCTCTTTCTGAATGAGCGCCCAGCGGAAATGGTGGGCACAAAGCTTCAGGCTTGTTTCCGGAAGAAGTTAATCATAGGGATGTCAGCGCTGCTGCCTTTCGGAACAAAAGGGAAGTATTTCAAACTATAAAGTGTGATCTAACAGTGAAGATGAGAATCATGATGTTTGTGATTAGGAATACTTTGAAAAGTATTTCAGCAAAGAAAGAAAACCCCGTGGACATAGTGGCTCAATGAGAGATGCCATCCCACGGGAAGACAGGACCATGGGGATCCGCACACTCACCTGGGAGCAGCCAGGAGCACTGCAGACAAATGGCCTCTCCTGCTCCAAGTTCATCTTGGATTCCTCATAAATCTGAAAGATTAAATGGAAACAGAAACCCATGAATATCGCCCTTCTTATGCTTCAGATGCACGAGAAAGGCTATCACTGGGAGCCTTCTATTGCCATTCGCCCAAATGAGCAAGTTGCACATGAACACCTGAATACGGCCATGTTTTAGGTTTGTTGGGTCTCCCGATTTGAGTTCCTAGAGTGCTCTTTTTACTGCATATTTTTTTTTTTAAAAAAGGCATCTGCTTGCTAGAGTCTAAAGCCTGCCTCTGGAAAGCTGACTGGTGGGTGCTATTGCTAGGTAAGACCCCAAATTTTCAGCAAGATTCCAAGGCAAAGAAAACCTCCCACTTCCCCCACCCACCCACCCCGGAGTCCTATGGAACTTTGAAACTGGCTGCTTGGGATAGCCAGAGGGAAAACTTCAATTCTGTTTAAATTTTGAGCATGGTCACAATCACCTTTAGAAATGACCCTGAATGCCAATAAAAAGTGTGGTCAACATGGCACTCTGATTAGCACATCTGTTGCTGTGGGCGTTGTTTCTTTTTAATGACAGGAAGGACCGTGCAAACTTCAGTTACATTATTTAGATGATTTGCTAAATACTTTTAAACCAATTTTAGATTTGTGTATATTTATTACATGTGCTTTGAATGGTATGTGGGTCTAGTGCTGAGTTTGAAAACCTCCTGCCTAAGCACAGGGAGGAATCTGTTTCTTTAGAATGCTGCCTGTGGGTGATTCCAAAAGGACAGGGACAGTCTGGCATCATGAAGGAATCTCACTCTGCTGAGGGAAGCAAATACATCTAATTTGTACATGTTATACCATCTTCCCCAAACACTTATTCTTTAGGGAAATATATGCATCCTTTCGCTTTTCCAAAACAGAAAGTGAGCATGTTTACCTTAGATAGCATTGCCAGTCAGATACTAAAACACAAATCTAAAACCAGAGAAATAATGTAAACCCTCTCCCAGCTGCAATTCCCCAGTGGCGTGCATTTTCAACTAAGCAAAGTCCCACTTGTTCCTATAGAACAGTAGTTCCCAACCTGTGGGTTGAGACTCCTGTGTGGGGTCGACTGACTTTTTCACAGGGGTTGTATCAGATATCCTGCATATCATATATTTACATTGCAATTCAAACAATAGAGAAATTACAGTTATTACATAGCAACAAAATAATTTTATGGTTGGGGGGTCACCACAAGATGAGGAACTGTATTAAAGGGTTGCAGAGTTAGGAAGGTTGAGAACCCTGCTGCAGAAGGCCTTCCCACTGGCTGCCGCACAATATAGTGATTAGCATAATTTTAAGTCTTTTCTATATTAAACATTATTATGTAAATCCCCTTCTGTGTTCACTTATATTTTTCTTATGAGTTAATGTTTTTAATTTTTCTTTTTCAGTTGACACGTATTTATGAAGAATAAGGAAGAAATTTCACAACTCATCTGCAGCCTCTACTGTTCAGATTGGGGTAATTAGCAAGACTCCTTCAAACACGCTGTCTGAGTGCTTGGATCCTTTAAATTCCTCCCCTCTACTTCTTCATGATGTATGTGAAAGGGTTCCCTAAACCTTACTGTGTTATACTTATGAGAAAAAAAATGATACCCCAGTGTGTTTGGAATCTTTCTGCTTGCTTTTGTCTGAAGAAAATCATGAGCAACAAAGATAACTTCGACTTTTTTTATTTAGTTTGCCTTGCTGATCATAGAACATCCCTCCTTCCTGTGACAGGAAGTAAAGAGGAATATTTTTTTATTGGGCAAGTAGATAAATTAGCTTAATAAATATAATAAACTAGCTTATCCACTAATTCGGTCTGCCATATTTTTCTAGAATAACAACAAAGACTTTTTGGTGCTCTCCAGGGACAATGCTTCTGTGCCCGTGAACCTGAAGTGTGCATGCAATGGCCTCATGTGTCAGCCTCGCTCCTTTATAATGGGGGTAGCAATATTCATCTTCAGCCCTTTCGTTCCTATATCTGATTCCTTTGTTTGAAGCTTCTAAGGCATTTTAAGTCATGGAGAAAACAAGGTACCTTGGAGGTAAGAGAAATTTGTGGGTGTTACTGGAACCTCACTTTAATATGAATCGGTCGCTTTGTGTAAAATTACAGATTACAGTTTATTCCCTTGTTTGCCTGTGTGGCTCTTTCTTGGGTACCACTTAAGAAATTTGTTTGCTAATGTTATGAAGGAGAGTGTGTTTACAATCAAAAGTTAGACTACACAATAGTCAAATGGGATAGTTCTATACATGTACTTTATGGCTGACATCAGGGGGTAGAATTAATGATAATTAAATGAATGTCCCAGCAACAGCTACTGCTGAGGCTCGAAAGATTTAACAGGCCAACATGAGGAAAGCATTGGCCAGACTCAGGGGCTAAGTCTAAGGAGAAGTTGTCTTTCCCTGTATTTGCTGCTCTAACCAAATCCTTGACTGACCAACATGCTGGTTTTCCCCATAAATCCAGACTTCTTGTTCCAATACTCTATAGCTCTGGTTGGCATCAGCATTGACCTCCTTAGTCATCAGCTATAATTTTCTGCTTCAAATGTCTTGGAATCAAATTCCAGTGCTCATATTTGGATACATATTAGAGCCCAGTCTCATAGACTTATTCTGTGGGATTGAGCCTATCTCGTATAGCTGTCATGTTTCAAGGAATATGATCAATATAGCTTGATAAATACTGACATGGGTTAATAACAAGAAATTATACTTCCAGAGACTCAATATGAGAAATACAAGGTCTCTTCTCAAGCAATATAATCATCAGTACATTCTGCTGAGTTACTACTGTCATTCTTTTGATTTTCCAGACACAGATGAACCTGTAGCAATTTATTACATAGTATGCACTAAGTACAGAGCAAATCTGTTTGGCAACTTAATATTGGGATAAAAGTCTTGGGGCATACAGCCATTGCTAATTTAGAGTAGGTTTTATGGGATCAGCGAGGTCTGATATGAGTGGGTGTATGTGTACCGTAGAAACCTCAACTGCTTAATTTTGATGGTCTGCAGTTTCCACATGCAGACTCTGCAAATAACACTCACTTGCTAATTCCTCCCCATGTAGGTGCTTGCAATAGGTTTTCTAGATGCAACCACTCTGCCATGTAGGACTCATTACTTTTATCAACTGGCATGATCTAGTCTGATGCACTAGTCAAGAGGCATGGTTGAATTTTACAGTCTATTATTATGGTTTTTTCCTAGTGCATAGTGCAGTAATTACACTCTCAGACCCCTGCTGAAGCTCCACACAGGTTCTTTCATCACCCAGCTAGTGGGCCAAGTGATTCAGACAGGCTGTAGCCAGGTTGTTCCACATTGGGCCCTCATCCTCTCATTTCCCATTCAGTTGTTTTACTGGCTGGGATTTTTTTTTTAATAAACCAAGTTTGGTTTGGCAGTCACCACAGCCTGGGCTCCACTGCCCAGAGCTTCCATTGTAGGCGTTCAATAAATATTTGTGGAATGGATAATGAATCTTGAATCATCACAATAAATTGTCCTAAACAGCCTCTGTTCTCAACTCTGGAGGCAACACTACCAAGTTTTCAGAGAGGTGAGAGGTTGTGTGGGCCACTGATTCCTCTTGTCTCTGGGTATAATCTTTAAAAAAAAAAATCTCCCAACCTTAAGAGAAAGTCAACATTGCTTTTTTGGTGGGAAAAAAAAAAAGAAGTAGGAGGAAGCTAATTTCTATCTCTTCATTTCATCACAGACATTACAACCAAGAAGACCTGAGTGCCTGGGTTGTCTGTGGTTCCCTTGGGATGAGCATGTACCCCCCCCACCCCCAGCCCCTTGTGGCCCTCGTAAAGCACCCTTTGAGAAATCCTGACTCTGGCTGCACTGATGAGTAGTTCCTCTGTGGCAGATGTTCACATACCTTAATAGTTTATAAATGGTACCATATTAATTGCCCTTTCCTAAAGTCATGCTCACTGTTCAGCTACAACAAATGCTTCATGAGTCTAGTTTCTCTCACCCTTTTGGAAAACAATTAAAAATCCTAATAGCAGTTTATCTCACACAAAGTGAGCAGACATTTTCCCAGTTGACAAGGAGATGACAGACTTGATTTACAGTTCGAATCCTCCACTGACACTGCATTCCTCTGGCTGCTAAGTGAGCTAGAATCTCTTTCTTTGTCCAGGGTTTGACCCCACAAATTCCTGGTCTAAAATGGGAAGTTGGTCCATAATGATCGAGGTCACCAATCCATCACTAATCCAACAAAGCTTTGTTGGCCACTAAGGATATGCTTGGAATGACTATGTCAGAAAAGGCAAATACTGCAAGAAGAAGATGCTATTAAAAACTTAGAGTGTCAAAAAAAAAAAAAAAAAAAAAAAACACCCTAAATACATACTTGAAATGTCACGATGACATCTGAACCAGAGTCAGCATCCTCTGGTTTGCAATGATCAACCCAAGGGGGAATGTTCCAGCATCCAGCTCAGATGCAGCATACCCAGTCCTTTGTTAACCCTGAGTTCTAATCTTAGCGAAATGGTTGAGAATTACCTCCAATAGAGTCACACAGTGATGGGAGATTTAAATGGTAAAATACTAAAAGTATTGTTTGTATTTGAAAGCCTAGCACTAAAAATGATAAGGATGTCTAAGGCACAAACTGATTGCCAATGAACACTGATCTACTAATGTCTCCATCTCCGTCATTTACCTGGTTGTGGGTACAGTATAGATCTTGAAGTTTAACCTTTGGCTAGCATCTATTGTCCTACCAAGAGACTAGATGGAGTCTTCTTGGCAGAGTTCTCCTGAAACAACCCCCCTGCTTTGTTGAGCCTCCCAGACACTTGAGTGAGCTCCAGAGAAGCAGACTGTCCCCCGAAAACTCCCAAAAAGAGGCTCAATACTCCTTTCCCTGAGAACAAAGATGATTTAATTAACTAAATTCATTACAGGCAAAGCCAATTTGGTTTTAGTCAGAAAGATAAGGCACAGACCGTATACAATAAGAA